ACCATATGTATCCCTGGATTTGGTCTGGCCCCTGTCATACTACCTGGTCCTCACCCCAGGAATGTTTGTATGCAGTAGCTTTTTCCCTATGCCCCATTTGCATTTTTTTAAAACTTACTTCTGCTGACTCATGTTATAATTGTCCTTTTGAGCTTGGTTTACTTCACTAAACATAATTTCCTCCAGTTCTTCACATGTGGCGATGTGCTTCATACATTTATCACTGCTTTTTAGTGGTGCCTAGTACTCTCTTTTATGTGTGTACCACAGTTTTTTAATCCAATTGTCTGTTGATAGGAATTTGGGTTGTTTCCAACTCCTTGCAATTGTGAACTGCACCACAATGAACATTGGAGCACAGATGTCTGGCTGCGGTTTGTTTCTTGCCTCTTCTGGGTATATGCCCAAGAGGGGGATTGCTGGGTTGTATGGTAGCTTGATTTCTGTTTTAGATATCACCAGATCGATTTCCATAGTGGCTGTACATACCTACAGGTCCACCAGTAGAGGATGAGAGTTCCTGTCTCCCCAAGCCCCTCCAACACTTGTTGCTTCCTGATTTTTTGAACTGGGCTATCTTTGAGGGTGTTAGGTGGTATCTTATTGTTGTTTTAATTTGCATTTCTCTTATGGCTAAAGATCAGGAACATTTTCTCAAATATTTATTGGCCATTCGGATTTATGCCCCTGTGAAGCTTCAGTTCAGGTCCTTTGCCCACCTCCGTAGTGGGCAATTAGCTTTTTTCTTTTTGGAAGCTAGCAGAGTATTATAGATTTTAGTAATAAGGCCTTTGTCTGATGTGTCATTGCTAAAGATGTTTTCCCAGTCGGTGGGCTCTCTTATTACTCTTTTGAATTATTTCGATATACACAGGTGTTTAATCTTTAGTATATCCCACTTGTCAATTTGTGCCTCCTCCTGTGTTTGTGTCCTTCCCTATTTCTGATAACCTATGCATTCCCTGGCCAAAGTTGTCAGGTTGGTTCCAATTCCCTCATTGATGGCCTTAATAGTTTGGGTTTTTACCTCGAGGTCTCTGATCCACCTTGAGTTTATTCTTGTGCATGGAGTGAGATAAGGGTCTTCCTTTATTCTTCTGCAGGTAGATGTCCATATTTTCCAGCACCACTTGTTGAAGAGGGCATCTGCTTCCCATTGGATAATTTTGGGGCTCCTTATCAAAGATCAGTTGTCTGTATGCTGATGATCTTATGTCTGGGTTTTCAGTTCTTCTCCATTGGTCTGAGTATCTGTCATTATACCAATACCATGCAGTTTTGACAACTGTGGCTGTATAATATGTGCTAAAGTCAGGTAAAGCAAGCCCTCCTACTGTGTCCTTCTTAAGGAGTTCTCTGCTAATTTTGGACTTCTTCCTTCTCCATATGAAGTTGGTAATCGGATTTTCCATTTCTTTGAAGAATGATGAGGGTACTTGTATCAGTATTGCATTAAATTTATATAGTGCCTCAGGCAAAACTGACATCTTGACTATATTGAGTCTTCCAATCCACGAGCATGGGATATTCTTCCATTTGTTGAGGTCACTCTTGGTTTCTTGTAATAGTGTTCTGTAGTTTTCCTCATAAGATAATCTTAAGTATTTGTTTAGGGCATAGACTTTCTGCTCCCTTTTGAGAAAAAAATTAACTCGGTGTTCCCCTGGCAGTTAAAAACTTTTGCATTATAACCCATAATCCAGGATAAAGTGTAGGTTTCTGCTTTTGCTGCCCCCAACCCCCAGATCGTTCTAGGGAAAGGTATTGCCCACTTTGAAATCTATGTGCTTCAAAAGAATTTTAAAAATGAGCTTGCTTTTGATCTGTTTGAAACTTTGTGGTTCAAAATAGTAAGCATGGAAAATAGCAATTCTGTATCTGATTACTAAAAAGGCCTTTGTGTTAATTTTGAAGCACATTAATTGCTTGTGTTTTTTTTTAACCCAGATATTTTTTGTTTTACAATAAAGACTGAACAAGTATATTCTCTCTTCCCTCCCCCCCCCCTTTATTTTTTTCAAAGGAGAAACTGAAGAAGAGGAACCAGGCAGATCCGTAGAGTCAGCTGAGTCTGGAGGTACCAATGCTTACAGATAGATCTTTCTTTTCCTTTCTATCTTACTGTTTTTTCCCACCAGTTTTTGTTTTTATTTAATTTTTTCCCCACCAGTTTATTGGCATATAATTCACATTACATTCACATATAATTCATAAAATTCAGTAGTTCAGTCACATCCAAAAGAATTGTACAATCATCACCACAATCAGTTTTAGAACATCTTCATTCTTGTAACCATTGTTATTCATTGCCCATTTCCCCCATACCACCCCCCCACCGTGCCCCCATTCATCCAGTTACTGTGTCTATTGATTACCTATCCTGGATTTCATATACAAAAAAAACATTTTTTAAAAAACAACAATGTAACAGATAAAAATCTCAGTTGAGATGAAAGCAAATTTAAATGGCTCATAAAGGAAATCAAATGATAAATTGCTGAATTTTAATCTAACTGTAACTGCATACTGGTAGAGGAATATTTACCTTACCAACTATCTTTTAAATTTAAATATAAAGATATTTTGTGATTTTCTTTTTTAATGCTTTTTGAAAAGTAGTGTGCACTTAGTAGGCATTACATATTGAATTGCTGATCCTACTTGTATATTTGGCTAGTAATAAAATATCAGAACAAATTATTCATTTTAAAATCTGCTTTGATATCTATGGAAAATGAGTTACTTTGAGTTTAAAAGAAGAGCAAGTTTTTAATTTGCTTTTGGATTTTGTAGAGAAACTGTTCACACTGTCATTGGGCCTTGGTTCACTACTTGGCTCGTTGGTTAGCTCCTAGTAAGTTTTCATATACTTAGATCACTATTTCTAACTCTGGATTGTTCAAATGCATGCCAAGTGAATAATAACCTCTTATTTTTCATGTGAATTTATCCTTAAGTTTATTCAAGGAAAGAATTGTCTAAAGATAGGAAATTGTCGATTTAAGGCATAAGGAGGTGCTGAATTTGTAAATTCAACAATAAGTGACTTTAATCATTCGTCCTTAATGCCTATGTTTTACTTTATCATTCTATTCATAAAATACTGTATATACTTGAGTATAAGCCGACCCGAATATCAGCCGAGGCACCTAATTTTACCACAAAAACTGCATTTAAAAAATGTGCTGAAAATCACTGCTATATACTGTAAGTCTGTAAATGGGTTTCGAGGCATTCAGTATTCCCTCAAGTCCTCCCATTCTTTCTTCATACAAAAGCATAATGGTTAGACTCTAGTGTCTGGAGCCAGAATCTCTACGATTCAGTCCTGTACTTAGTAGGTGTGTACCCTTAACTGCAGTGTTCCTTAGCTTCCTCATCTGCATCATTGGAAAGATTAAATTAATTTGTAAATGGAGGAGTGCTTAGTGAAGATTGCTCTGTAGGCTATCCTTGTCCAAGGTCATTTGTCAATTCTTCCTTCAAGGCTGGTGCTGATTGGGAGACCAGTGCTTGAATGAGCATTCTGGCCCTCAGGTAACAACAAGAGAGGATGGCATGCCCTGAACCACAGATACTCCTGTCATTCAGCCATCCATTTCTCCAAGTCTGTGCCATGAGGGGGCAGCAGAGATCAAGAGAAACCATCATTGGGTTCTTTTGAGTGTGGCACCTCAACAAGCAGTACCAACAGGAGGTAGTTTAGTCTCTCAAAACATTCACAGCACTTAGCACAGATGAGCAGAAAGATGAAAAGAAGCCTATAAAAAGAATTGTGATAGATATGGAGGTTTGTGAACCTTTAGAGCAGTAGATGTTTTCTGTTTACTCACTAATGAAAGACGAACCTTATATTTCAGTCACTTAATGCTGTGACATTCAAAAATTAGTATATTGGTTCTTGATGGGATACAGGAAAACATGGGGAAATTTTTAGAAGAATTCTGAAAAACAATAGAGGTGAAAATCAAGGAATTTAATAAAGAGATAGGAACCTTAAGTAACTAGAAATTCAAAAGCTTAATATTAAACTAACAAAAACAAAGTCCCTTTAGAAGAATACGGAAGGAGAATGAAAACAGTGGGAGGAAGAATCAGTGAACTACAAGACAAAGACTTGAGATTGCACAGATTGAAGAACATATAGGAACAATTGAACAGCGCTTAAAGATTCTGAGGGACATTGAGAGAAACTGTGTATGCATAACAGGGATTCCAGGAAGAGAAGAGAGGAAATGAAGTCCAGAGATATTTTTGAAAAAGGTAATCAAAGAAAATTTCCCAAATATGAAGGAAAGACTATCAGTTAAGATGCTCAGTGAACTCCATATAGGTTAAACATTAAGAAAACTCCACAAGACATCATAATCAAACTTTCTATATACAAAGATAAAGACTTTTGAGAGCAACACAAGATAAGGGGAAAGTCACAAGGCGCCTCAATAAGATTAAATGCTGATTATTTCATCAACAATTCTGAACAGAAGTCAATAAGGTGACATAACAAATCTTGAAAGAATATACCCAGCAAAATCATTATCCCAAAATGAAGGTGAAACTAGAATTTTCCCAGACAAACAAATTAAGGGAATTTGTAACCACCAGCCCAGCCCTGCAAGAAATATTAAGGAGGTTTCCTAGGAAGAAAACATGATACCAGCTCAACAATTCAAAGTGTTTGATACTGAACAACCACCTGAAGACATATAGTAAAATCAATTTATATTGAGATTATAGAGAATTTGGGCTATATGATTGTAATTGACAGTAACATACAATGGGGTGATTGGCAAAATTATATGGAGGTGGACTAGTGGTTACAAGTTGGGCTGTGAGCTACATGATTAGCAATTTAAAACCAACAGCAGCCCTTGGGGAGAAAGACTGGGCTTTCTACTCCTGTAAACATTTACAGCCTCAGAAACCTACAGGGGATCACTATGAGTCAACATTGACTCCATGACAATGAATGGCATACTTAGAGACCTTTCATGTGTTACGAGGAATTCCAAGTGATTTGGTAATAAAATTTCTCAAATAAATAAGGGGAGGGGGGGACTCCTAAAAAAAGAATTCAACTCTGAAGATAGAGGACAAAAAAAGCCATCGCTCTCTAAGGTGGAGGGTATGTTTAACAAAATCTTTGAAATAAATTCTCCTCTGTAGATAATTAATTGCAGTGAATATAGGTGGATTAAATACTCCAGTCAAGAAACTGGTAGACAACTAAAAATGACACGTTTGTATGTTGTCTATAAGGGGCACAGCTTAAGTACAGGTGTGTAAATAAAGTGTAGGGAGGAAGACATTCAATATAAGAAGTAAACTAATACAAATCGAGCATGAGTGGCAATATTAATTCATGACAGTAATTTTTAAGTCAAGATTTACTATAAGACAAGGATATTACATGCACAACTATTTGATGATGAATGGAACAATTTAAAAAGTGAATAAAAAATGCTTGCATAATAGTAACCGAACCATCTGGAACTAACAGATATGGAGCACATCACTCAGTAATAACATAATACGCACTCTGTTTCATTGCCCATGTGTTTGTTGTAGAGTGCTTTCAGATACAAAGTACATTTCTGTTAGTTTACAAAGATTGAAACTACATAAAGCATCTAATATGACCATAATAGAATGAAGCTAGAAAGCGGTAACAAAAAGAATAAGGAAAGCTATATAAATTTATGGAAATTTAAACACTTAAATTTATAAATCTGTTGGGTTATCAAAGAGATCAAAAGGCTACTTAGAATCTTAAGAATGTAGTCTAAAGAGGTGTGATTTCATCGAGTCTTGATCTTAGAGTATACATCATTTTAGTAGCTTGTGTGACAGAATGGGAGGGATATTTAATGTGCTTTGCTGCAGATCCAAATAGGATGATTTAATTGTAGAAAAGCATCTGTAAGGTTGAACTGTGAGTTGGCGTAACCACTTATCACAGATCATTTTTGTTGAAAAAATGACTAACAGACAGGTGATGGCTATTTAAACTTTATCATGTGGCAGGAATTTTCTCAAATTGTGTCTGTCACATTTCTTCAACTGGCAGTGTTCATTGCCATGACAAAATACAAATTGCTCTGCAGAAATTAGGATGATGAAGAACACTTTGCTGCCACCAGCTTCTCTTCATTTGAGATAGTGACATTAACACATGAGAACTTTTTGAATAATGCCGTATGCCAACATTTAGAAGTAATGCGTATTGATTTACTTGATGAACCAACATCTTCCAAACACTGTTACTGAAAATGTATTGTAAGTGAAAGAATCCAATTGATTTTAATGTAATAGTATAAAGAACGTTGATGAAAACTACCACTTGTCAAGTTTGGGTGTTGTATCTAAGAAGTATACTTAGTTATCTAAAATTATTTTGAAATCTTTTTCTCCTTCACCCAAAAATATTTCCTGCCTGTTGAGCATTCTACTGCTGTAACACCAGTCTATAGGGGATCAGATTTACTGTACGTGTTTGAAAGATTATGGGACAGTGAGTTTGTTAATGAGAGAGGGTGCAACGGATTGTACAGCTGGAAGAGTGTAATCACAATCACTAAATTGCACATGTAGAAACTATGTTTTATGTATATTCAACAGTAAAATTTTAAAAATCTCCACTTTTTAAGTAAATAAAATTAATGTGTAACCATTTAAAGGCATTGTAAAGTACTTAGAAAGTAACATGGCATATGGTAAATACTCAAATTAAGTACTATTAGTTTTAGTGTATGTATATATGAAGCTCTTAAAAGAGACTAATTAAACAATTTGTATAGTTAATAGTTTTACTGCCAGCATATTGTTATTTGAAAGCACATAAATCTCAGTCGGTCTCTGATCCTTCTAGAATTGTAACAAATTATGTGACTTACTGGAGCATAAGTGCTCACGTGCAGAAGAGAATACTTGTAAAAGAACAAAGAGGTGAGGCATAGTAAAAAGCCTACTGACCTCTTCCTCAGTTACCTTTGGGCCAGTCATTCGAATCGAAGAATAAATTATTAGAATTTCATTATTTAAATTTTTTTTATCCATTTAAAATGCCTCTTTTTAGGTCTTATAATCTACACACTTATTAATATTGTTTCACTCATACATGCATTTAATGTCAGAATGAAATATTTATCAGAGGTTGATGCTTAAAACTTCTTTGGTAAATAGGAGTATACTGTCAAAAATATTTAGCCACCATTTCTCTGTGTCAAATTCTTCTGTGCCAGTCTAATTTTTATACAACTTTAGTTACAAATCCTAATTTTTATTCAAATTTAGTTACAAATCCTACTTTTATATGGGGGAAAAGTTTGTAAGAAGATCACACAACATAATGTGTTACCCACTGGCCAGAAAATATTAAAGCAAATGAATGGGGGTTTTTTTTGTTTGTTTTGGGGGGGGGTTTTTGGAATATTAATGATTTCAAAAAAGTTCATTGCAAACTTTCACATGTTTTCCTAACTTAAAGGTTTTTTCACCTTCCATACTGCATGTTATATTCCATTTCTTACCATTTTTCCCTTTTAAAAATGGTTTGGGAAAAGACAGAAGATTTGCATATTCTTTTAGATAAATTCTTTAGAAATTTTTTTTTTGGTAGTTTTAAAACTAAGTTCTGTATCCAGGTATTAAATGCGTGGGATTTATCTCAGTACTTTCTCCCTTTCGATTAAGTACCTATGGTTCTTTTATAAAGTGCTCATTTAAAAAGTCCAGCATACTTTATGCTATAGGTTTTTTCCTTCTTTTTTTTTTTTTTAGATCAAAACATCAGATCAACTAGCCACTATCCAGAATCACCTTGGCAGTCATCACAAAGTAAGTAAAACCATGTCTTATGCTCCTACAGGTCTGCTGGTGGGGAAAACTTGTCCTGGTTCTGAAGCTCCGCTTTGCCAGTTGGATGAACATTTCAGAAACGACCTATAGTGAATTCTTTTTTTTTT